TTAGAATTGGTAGACAAAACTACCAACATATAAAAGCGAAAGGTGGGTATTCTTTTTCTTTTATAATGTGGATAAAAAATTTTTTTTGTCATTATTATAAATTTATTCTTTATGATTATAGATTATATCGACAGGAGACTACCAGTTGAGATTAGAGTTTCGATAAGAAACGAAATGGAAAAAGACATATCTGTATACGATGAAGCTGGATACATATATATTTTTCAAAGTATATTTTTTTTATATTTAATAGTCTGCTAATTTACAATTTATGACAAAATGGTTTTTTCTTATTGTCCAATTTATTTACATTTAATAGTTAGTGGCTTAAGTACTATCAAAAACCTATTTAAAGTAGGAAGGACAAGGAACGTAAACAAACGAGTCGAACAGTGGAAGTCACAATGTGACTATAAAATAAAGCTTTTAAAAAGCTATCCGATAAAAAATCAATGCAAATATATTCACTGAACCGAGAGATTAATTCACATAGAATTATCGAATTATCGGTACTCGGAAAAGTGTGAAGTTTCTAACAAACTTCACAAGGAATTACTTCAAATTGGTAAAAGCGAATTATCAAATGTGGTCCTGCGATGGATCAAGTATATAGAAAATATGTACGGTGTCGATGTTATTGAAAAATAATAGATGTTATTATTTAGTTATTTTGGTTAAAAAAATTTTTTTTTTCACAACTTACTCTTTATTATTATGGGAATATATATGTATTATCAGATTTTTTTATTTTTTAATAAATAAAATAAATTCAAGTCTTGTAGTGATCAAACAAAATTTGCTTTTTTGAAAGTTTTTTATGATCAAAATGTTTAGTTTATCTGAAAAAAACGTTAAACAGACAATTATCATAACATCTAATTACCAAACATTTTTTATATCTTTATTAATTAAACAGCAATTCTCTCCAATGTCTAATGATTTTAATATCAATTGTGATAGATAATGTGTAATAATATATGCGTGATAAAATTTTTAATAGTAATATCTATCTTTACACTATTTCCAAATATTTTTATCCATCTCTAGCATTAAGCTAAAATTTAAATAAATATTTTTAGTATTAAAATTAAAAGAAAAACAATTAATTTGATTTCAACATAACAAACCTTTATTGCATCGGAATGGCAAGTTAATGACAAATAACATCATTAATTTTTACAGCATTTATTTCTATACATCCATTCTTCTTCATTATCGTTCCAAAACATTTGAAATTTACAAATAGGACAAGGTTTATTTGTTTTTCGAACATCATCCGGGGATAATAACCAATTATATTTGTTCTTTTGATATTTTTGTTTGACTTGAAACTATTGGAATCATATTCAAAAAATGTTGAGCATTCGAAATCCTAAATATAATATATATATATATATTAAATAAATAATTTGAATTTTTTTTGTAATTATAAAATTTTTTTTTTTTTTAAAAAAAAAAAACAACCTCTTCGGTAACAAACCAATTTCTACTTTGTGCATTTTTGGCCTTCTTTTTCACCTTGCGATTTTGCCTAAAATGCCAATCTAAATGCTTACCAAATTTTTCTTTATCTTCTTCTTTTGAATCTTTAGAAAACCTAACTCCACATTGAGATGGAAATGCATCATAAAGAATTGAAATTGCACCTTCATGTTTGCTATTATTATAAATTATAAAATTATTTAATTATTTGATGATGAATTGTAATTGTTAAAATATCTCGTGTAATTATATAATATGGTTACCGTTGAATATTGTGATTTTTAAATTGAACCCTTGCCAAATTTTTTGCATGCAATATCTTATCACTATTAGCAGATGATGAAAAGGTACGACATTGTTATCGCTGATGGTGAAACAACAGTGGCAGATATAATTTTGTTGGAAGTAATGATTGGAATAATGGGGACAGTTAGTAATGGATTTGGCTGTTGAAGAATTTGGTGAGGCTGTGGCATTGAAGTAACAACAGTATTTGGTCGTGGTTGCGAAGGCATTGACAAATGTTGAGGAATGATATTATTAATTGCTGTGGCAGTGGGTAAAGTTGTAGATACTGTTCTAGGTGCTGATGCTAAAATATTGCTATTGTTATTTGTAGAAGTTACAGTAAAAGTAGTAGTAGGGATAGAAAGGAAATTAGAATTTGTACCAATATTATTATGAATAAAATTAGCAACGTTGCTAGTAGCCGCAACAGGAATAGAAATTGGTGGTTGTTGAGGTGATGATAGTGGTGGTGGATAAGTTGTGGTATTAGTGGGTGCAGAATAGTTGTGATTTTTTGTACAAATTGATTGTTACATCATTGACACCAAGGTACTGCCTGATTTTCTGAATTTCTTCACTTGAAATCGGTTTTTGCTGAACTATTTCACCAAGCTATAATATACAGTGCGTATATATATGGATCAGGTTATTATTTATTTTATTTTATTTTTTTCTATGAAGTTCCAATTCGTCAAAAAAAAAAAAAAATCATTAATAAAAATAATCAATTGCAAATAAATGACAATATAATAAATAACGAATCCAATAATAAATATATATCAATCGAAATTAAACCTTTTGTAAGAATACAATTTGATTTTGGTTATTTAAATCTGATGGATTTGATAAAACAGCTTGTTGACGTAACAAAACCAATGCCTGACACTCTTGTAATAATTGCTGTTGTTCAGGCAGAAGAACGAATACTTGGTTACGTGAATGAATTGGACATGCTAGTAATCATTATATAATATCAATCACATATATAAATTATATGTAAAAAAAAATTGTTGATTTGTGAGATAGTGCAAAATATCAAAGTCAGTAATAGTAATGATGATAATTAGTAAAATTTTGAATAATGAAACGAATTAATGGATTTTAAAAAGGAGTATTTGTAAATAAGTAAAAAAACGAAATAAATATCAGTATATTAAAAGAAAATGTGTATGTAATAATTAAAAATCATTAATTTAGTCTCTTCTTTCAATTCGCTTTTTCTGTTCGTGATTTGTTTTAATCAATGTTTATTTTCTCTCGTTGAATTTTAATTAATTAAAAAATTTAATCAAATTGATTTGTTATTTCATCTGTCAAACCTCGATAAACCGAACTACTATATTCGCTTTATAACGATCCAAAATTGGATAACCAAATCATGTTAATATATAAAAATTATTTCATTAAGCCGAATTTTATTAATTATAACCCCCATCCTACTTTGATGAACTGAACCTAACGTTTGATACAACATAATAAAAATGCAACTTTATAAGCCGAATATTTGTGAAAAACAGTTGGTGGTTATAAACTGGTTTTAAAATTCGTCTTATAACGACAAAATTCGGTTCACTCCACACTATCAATCGTCCAATCTTTCACAAATAAAATTTATTATTTTATACGTTTTTATTTGAACAATTAATACACAGTGAATCTCGATTTAGCGGATACTAATTAAAAATCTCGGTTTTACGATAAAGTTCAAAGAACGGTTTCATAATAAACCTTAATAAAAACCTTCTCGATATAGCGGATATCTCGGTTTTACGGATTTTGGAAAACTTTCCCTAATTGCCCAAACTATCCGTTAAATCGAGATTCACTGTGTAATAATAATAATAAAAATTGTTTTTCATAAACCGAATTTTGATAAGCCGATCTTATTTTTGTGATTCCCAAAAGTTCGGCTTATCGAGGTTTGACTGTAATAGGAGAGAGTTCTTTTTCTAGTCAAGATCAAATGAATGTGGACAGATAAATGTAATAATTAAAACAAATATTGTGTAAACATTTAACATTTATTATTAATTTGTCATTGCATATTTATTTTACATGCAAATAAAGTAGTCTATATATATTTACTACAAAGTTACTAAATTATACAACCAAGTAAATTCAGCGATTGTTAGTTGTTACCTATAGTAACATCACACAATATTTAGGACAAATACTTTATTTGTTTTACATTTTCGTTCATTTCTTCCATTTAAGCAAACTAGTCTTCTGTGAATGCGTCCGTAATGTTATTCTTTTGATTATGATTTTTGTCATTGTCTGCCATGTTTAATTTGTCGTATTAATTGCATCTTCCATTTAAACAAATTGGTCTGCAAGTGCATTTACAACGTTTATCTCTTTGGTTGTGAGATTTTTTGTTCGTACCTTCCGCGAATTGGTTATTTTTTGATTGATATATAAATGATAACAAAAATAAATATTGTCGTAAAAAATTGAATTAATTAAACAGGTCGAAATTCAATAAAAAATTCTTTTTTTTGATAAATAAAAGCAACAATAAAATAATGAATTCTCTTTTCGATTAATAAATATATAAAAATAATAATGTTGGCTTAATTTTTTTTTTTTCTGAAAAATGCTATTCATCTTTACCGCTATCTCTTTCATCAAGATGGTTTCTGGAGCTTCTGCTTTAACTGGAATCATGACATACAGATGTGATGAAAACAAATTTGTTGGCTGTCATTACAAAGCATTTATCACAGTCAAAGACTAATGAATGATCCACAAGATTGAATCCAAACACGGTGATGTTGATTTCAGGAAGATTTGTCTTGGAAAACTCTAAATCTGATGTGGTGTTGATTTGATGAGAAGTTTACTTTGCTTTGATGACTTTTATTTTTTTTTACTAAAAATGTGATTAATGAAAAAAGATCACGGTTGTTCAAGTCATATTGCTAAACTTGAAAAGACTGAGGAGTTCCCATAAATCCACATTCCCACCATGTGGCAACTATTTGGCCTATGAAAATCGTCTAAAGTCAATAAAGGTTCCATCTCCTACTTCACCTTTGGTCAGAAGATGTATAATACTGTAACTTCCAAATACCCAATGGTTGTGGTCGCATGTTCCTATGATTCTGACAACTCAGATATGATAATGTCATAAAGACATTCGAATCTGCGGTGGTATTCACAAACTTTATGGAGAAGTAAGGACAAGATTCTATGTATACGTTGTTTTCAAAAACTTCAAACGAAATCCAAAATGACCTTCCTTTATACTACATCTAAAGTCAAAAGAAAATACTAATGAAGTTAACTAATACAGATACATATAGAGTTAACTCCATGTGTTTCTAAAATCTACAATATATATTCTACAAGTTAAAACGAAATAATCTATTGTCCATATTGTATAAGAATTAAATTAAGTAATAATTTGAGGCTTTAATTGGTCGATAAATACCGATACTATGTTCTTTACAACCAACTTAGGTTCATAAATAAATAATATTAAGATCCATAATAAAATGAAGTGAATTTTAAGATATCAATTCTGTATTCCTGTGTACAAAAATGAATTGTAGTTTGGTTTAAAGGTGGCTCTGCAACTCAGGAGGTTACAACCAGGTTGCAACCAGTTGCAGAATTTCAAAATCAGTTGCCAACACCAACCTTAGTTTGGTTAGAAATGATTAACAATAGTGATTATTTTTTTTTTGAAAAAGGTGATATTACCTTAACAATTTCATTGTTAAAAAACCTACAAATTGAACATAAAATTATAAAATTATATATACAGATAGGTGTATATGAAAAGAAATAAATTCAATGGTTCTAATGAATATTGAAAAGCAATTGATTTTTTGGAAAAAGGTTATGATTGTGATTGTTCTTCAAGAATTCCCAAGGAAAATTTTGCAGAATTAAGGGATCCTTTCAAGCTCTTTCTAAAGTAGAAAAGACATATTTTTAATGGCTCAACTTAAAGCAATGGATTGTGGGCTAACAAGCACTAGTAGATGTCTTAAAAAGAAAACTAGATCTAATAAAAGAACTTCCTGCCATTGGGATCACAATACATCTCTTTGTCAAGAAACTTACCTCAATATGCCCTATAAAAAATTCAGTAAGGAAAATGTATGGAATACTGTATGGAAAAATGCAAATTTCCATTTTCCTTACTGAATTTTTTATAGGAATTATTAGTAGGACTTATCTTGAAAATATCAGAAATCATCTGATAAATAATGGTCTTCTACCAAGAATTCATGGTAATATTAAAAGGATGCCTCATGGAAAACCAAAATGGTGATTGATAAAAATGTTGCAAAAGTAGTAAAGTATTTTCTAGTAAATTATGGATTACCAAGTCCAGGTAGAAGTAACAATAGAATAACTCAATAAATTACATTCTTACTAGCTGAAATGAGTTATAAATCAGCACACAGAGACTTTCTAGTTGGTCTGGAAGAAGATAACAAATTGAAATTCTTAAAATATGGTGCATTCAGAAAATTATGACATCAATTGACACCAGAAATTCAAATTATGAGTCCAAGGACTAATTTGTGTGTCACTTATCAACATTTTAGAGATGGTTTACATTATAATGCTCGCCAAGAGGATGAAACTAAAGATTTACTCAAAAGATTTAAAGAACATCTGTCCAAGGCAAGATTAGAAAGAAATTATTATAATAAAAATACCAAATTAGCAGAAGAGCAAAGAAAATTGATTAATCAAAACTATTCCCAAGGTAAAACACAATATTGTAGCATTGATGCTACTGCTCATTGAGCCCAAAATGTCCATGTACCCCATTCTGATATAAGAGTGTAGTTTTCTGCCAAAATTCATCTGCCAATTTGAATTCCTGTGAGAATATTTAACATCTACCAGAATTAAAATATCCAAAGTTAATATTCAATATTATATCTTATTTTAAACATAATTTTTTTTTTAAAATAAATTGTAAATTTTGGATATTTTAATGATGAATTTTGGCGGAAAACTACAGGTAAGTAAAATTTATTACCTTAGTCTTGTTGTATAACTTTGAGGTTTCTGGGACAAAACTAGGATAATTACGAAAAAATTCCAGGATTTTTTCCCAGTTTGCATCCACAAGATGCCCCAGAGGCGTATTTCATAGCAAAATTGATATTATCATGGTTTGTGTCAACAAGACATGCGTAGCATGTCAGCAAACGAAATAGACAACAGAAATAGATAACGGAAAAGCGAGTGTAACGAGCGAGACGTGCGTAGCACGGCGGTTGACGAAACGGGTAACGGAAAAGCGAGTGTAACGAGCAAGACGTGCGTAGCACGGCGGTTGACGAAACGGGTAACGGAAAAGCGAGTGTAACGAGCAAGACGTGCGTAGCACGTCAGTTAACGAAAATAGATAACGAAAATAGTTAACAAAAATGATAAAATTTTCGAATTAAACATTTCTGCTAGCAATATAAAAATAAAACAAAAATGTTCGCATATATTACCCAAACTTTTAGATATATTATCAATGCAATAAAATACCTTGATGATAGCAAAGACCCATTCGAGTCTGGAGAGCTAGTGGAGGTAAGAGAGGAGATCGAGTATGTAGAAACTAATCCTCAAGTCTTTAACTTACCACCAGAACTAATTGGCGAAATTATAAAGCAAATTGAGGATCCAGTAAAAATTGCAAATGTAATGTTAGTAAACAAAACATGGTACAAAGAGGGAAGACATCAATTATATTTAGATCAAGATGATGTAATGCTATGGTTAAGATTAAAAAGGATTAATAAATTGGATAGCTTTATAAGATCTCAAAATCTTGATAGGTTAGATGAATATGGTAGGATATTTAAAAAGCTTAAGAAAACTCATGAAGAATTAGATAAACCACATTTGATTGCACAGATCAATTATCACGAAGCACTGAGAAAACTTCCAGATTCAGCTGAATTCTGGTTAGAAGTTCTTGATGATGTTGATGATGAATGGGATGAGCAAACCAAACTATTATATAATGATATAATAAAAAAATTAGCTATAGTCAATGAAGTTAGAAATGATATAAATCAAATATATCGTGAAATAGAAACTTTTAAAAGGTTTGTACACATGAAAACATCTCATTTTCATTATTAATCATAAATGGTATTAATTAATTATTTTCGAAAATAAATTTTTCTTTTTTATATAGAGACCATATTTTTGAATCTTATATAAATTTTAGATTTAAACATTTAAATTTATAAGATATATTTTTAAAAAAAATGTCTGGTATTTTCACATGCATTGGTTCAATCATCAGTGGAATCCGAGAAAAGCTCAGAGGTGTTGACAATATAGTTCCAGAGCAAGCACCAGCTCAACCAGAAATCCAATCCCCTACCATAGAAGAAATTCGTAACAAGCATAGTGGGAGACCATTTATTAACCAACCAATATGCCTTGGTTTGGGTGAAGTATTAAAATCATTCAAAAAGCCTATTGATATTATCAAACAATCTATCCCTCAAAGTAAAGGTAAGAAAACCAAAATCATTCCAGAGTCTCCTGCTGAATCAAGCAGTTGAGCACAAAGGAGAGAAGAGGCTAGAGTCCAAAAGAAGACTGAGAAGACTGAGAAGAAGAAGCCTACAATCATTCCAGAAAAAGAAATAATATTCAGAGAGATGAAGTTAACTGAGTGGATGGCAAAAAGAAGAATAATTGTCATTCATAGGGGAATAGTACCAGAAGATAGAAAAGTAAATGAAGATGAATTAATGCTTCTAGAAAGTGTCTGAGAGAAAATCAAGGATGTTTTAAGATTAGAGCAATCAAAGAAAAAAAGAATTCAGTTTTCAATCTTATTAAAAGCAACTATGGAGAAGACTATTATAGAAAGAGATGAAGATGGTGTTTCATATGTGAATAAATATCCAGAAGACCACCCATTCAAATCTCAAATGGAGTACATCTTGAATGAAAGTGATATTAATGGCAAACTTATATCTAAATCTTATGATGAAATACTCAATAAGATTGATAAGTTTATTAACCGATCATCTGGATATAAATTTAAGAAAGGAGTATATATTGATGCTCAGATAGTGCAATATAAAATTGCCAGAGGAGGAAGCCATATAAAGACTCCTAAAAAGCTTGCTAATACAAAGGGAACAATAAATCCCGATAACAGTAAGACCATGGATAATAACTGTCTTCAACATGCCACATCAGCTTTTAATGCGGATAGACTCTCAGAAGGTAAGTTAGCACATTTAGAAAGATTATCAGTTCTAAGGCAATATAAAGATCTTGTTAACTTTGGTGACATTCTAGATGGAAAGCCAGTCCCAGTTAGCAATCACATATTCGAAAAACTTGAAAAATTAAACCCTGACTATTATTTCAATGTAAATGACTGGGATGATAAAGCAGGTATGCAACCTCTTATAATTTCGAAAAATTATACAAGAAAATATGAGGTTAATCTTCTAGTCCTCACTAAAGAATCTATAGGTGGAAAGGAAAAAACACATTATTTATGGATCAAAAATCCAAGTAAGCTCATATTCTCAAATACAAAGAATAGTAACAAGAAGCATTTATGTACTCGACATGGAGAATTCTTCTCATCAGAAAAAGCACTTAGAAACCATCAAAAGTATTGCTATGGTCTTACAGGTGCACCTCAATTTACAGAGCTTCCAGAAAAAGGTAAAAATGATAAATTACATTTCAAAAAATGGAAGCATATGATGAGAGCCCCTTGTGTAATATATTCGGATTTTGAATCACATAATAAGAAATCTCCAGATGGTGCAATATATAAGGGGCAAATTAAAAAGTTAACTGGGAATGTCCCCAACAGCTATTACATTATAGTACAATGGAGCGATGTGGAAGTATGGGCAAATGAGTATCCTTATAGAAGAGAAAACCCTACAGAGCATTTTATTAAAGAACTAGAAAATCTATATGGGGGGCGCTCTAGGAAAACCAGGCTTTGAGTTTTGTGTTATGTGTAATTTTCATAACAAAAACATATGAAAATTACATGTAACATGAAACTCGAAGCCTGGTTTTCCTAGAGCGCCCCCCATATGATGATATTGAATATAAGCTCTCAGACAACTTGGACATCAGAAACCATAAAGACGAACCAGAATACAAAGAAGAATATGAAAAATCAATGAATGATTTCAATAAAGCAGATAGATGTTGGATATGTAAAAGGATTCCAAGATTCTAACAAGGAAAAACTTGCAGAAGGAAATAGATTGAAATCATTGGCAGAAAAGATTACTGATATTAAGAAAAGAAAAAAAGCTATGGATACTGCAATGTCAATGATTCGAGATGCCACTGTATACACCAAAGTCTGGGATCATGACCATATCTCAGGAAAATTTCGAGGAGCATCTCACTCAGGATGTAATCTTAAACTAAAAATAGACCCATCAAGAGATCAAATTCCAGTTATATTCCATAACTTCAGAGGATATGATTCTCACTTAGTATGTCAATCAGCAGGTAAGGCCAGCAGTGACCATATAACAGTAATAGCTGAAAATATCGAAAAATATAAGTCAATGACTATAGGTAAGTTCAAATTCATAGACAGTTTCCAATTTATGAATACAGGACTTCGAAAATTAGTAGAAAACTTAGGAGCAGTACCATGCAATAATAATGAATGTAAAGAACATAAATTTAGAATTGATAAAA